TCGTAAACTGCTGGATGAAAAGGTGACTTTATATTGCGAACGTTTGATTAGGGATTACAAGGGAATCGCATACTCCTAAAAGCTGTTAGAGTGATGAAACTTTATTGAAGTACTTTATAAAATTTATTGAGTTTTGACACATAAGCACTTAATGTAGCCAGGAAGTGTACTCCTTCTGCGAAGTCATCTATTGTGATTAAAATTGAGTTGCAGATTTGTATCTTAACTGTTTAAACTCCTCATTATTTCTACAAAGATATGGTTTTATAAAATGCATCAACTATTTTTCCTCTATTCAATAGTGAATTTTTCTATTATTAATCATATGAGAATTGTAAATTATACTTTAAAAGTTTCTGCAAAAATTAGTTTTTTTTAAACTGTTGCTAATATTACATAAAGTTTTAATGAAAAAGTATATCTTTAAGACTTATAACTATAATTTTCCTTTTATAAACATTATTACTACCTTAAAAATAATTTCAAATGTCAAGTACTTATATCTTAAAAATGAATATTATGAAATAAATATTGGATTTTATCGTTTTCTGCTTTAGCTTTAGTTATCTGTTGCGTCAAAATCATATCTTAATCAAACTTTAAATTTAAGTTGAAGTTGAAAGTTTTACTTTCAGTTCTCCAGTTGATCCCAACGCAGTTGAAGTTTAACGTTTCAGAAATTGAAGAAAGTATCCATTGTTTTTTATTAGAACAAGATATTGCTATTTGGAGTATATTTTTTAAGCCTTTTATTTATCTATATAGTTTTTCTTAAAAAGGACTTTAAGCAGCCACATTGTTGGTATTATGGAAAAGATATTTGCTTTCATAGGGCATTTCATTTCTTCTACAGGATTCAAATCACCATTATGAAAGTTAGACGTCTATTAGAATTTCTTTTTCTCCGATCAAGTCTTATTGATTTTGGAATGATTTGTAATCTAATGTTTTTAGTTAATTTCAGAACATGCAAAAACGTTTCAATTTTGGATACGGGTAGCAAAGATGAAGTGAATGACATTAAAAAGTTATTTATTCATCTAATGGCTTTTAAAAAGCCATTAGATGAATAAATAAAAGCCATTAGATGAAAAAAGTAAGTAATTTAAATAAGATAGAAAATTAAAACCATGAAACAAACTTTCGTATTCGGACTGTGCGATTTTAACTCCAACGATATGAAAATATGACTACGTTTTTTGTTTGACTAGTGAAGTAAAATATTGTACCTGTTTAACAAGAAGGGAGTGTAATATCAAGAAGAATTTTCAGAATAACTGATACCCGTATTTTTCTTATTTAGACTCGTCTTTATTCTAAAAAAATTGGCTTAATCGATTCCATCAACAATTAAATTCAATCATTGTTTTCTTTTTATTATATTTCACAACAAATGAACAACAAAAGTGACTCGTCGCACTCCGGTATGGTGGGTAGAGATTTTGTCTTCCATAGCTTGGGGTAGAGTTCAATTCTTCATGATAAAAGCTGGATGTCTCATTGGATTGTGCTTGATTGTTACGATGGTTTCAAAGTTGCAAAAATCTTCGCATGGTTAGGAGGTTTATAAGTGAGGAGTGAAGATTGAATGATTTCCTCTACGATCGAAATCAAAGTAGTGATTTTTGCGTATGAACCAGCATTAAGAAATTATGCAAAGCTATACAGTCTCTCCAATATCTAACTCTACTTGAGCTTTACAACGCATGCGTGGAAGTTTCTCAATAAATCTCAGTACCGCTAAGGTATGGAAAATAAGGTTTAGCGTTACGGATAACAATTTTTTTCCGAAGCTCTGTCACAAGGAAATTTAAAAAAAGCCACAGTTTAAGTGTCTTACACTTGAAGGTGGACCCTGATTTTTAATTATATACTTCATCTTGCCGTGAAGAATTATCTGGGCTTTAGAACGAACAAATAACTTAAATATTAAAAAAATTACTAAACATTTTTTTTTTTAAAAATCACTAATTTGTCGACATTTTTCCATCTAGATGAAACTTATCAAAATCACTGACTTATTCTCAGTTTTTGAAAATTTTTATGATCCTAGATAATGCAGCATTGGTGTGTTTTTAAATATTGAAAAACTAGACTTCAAACTCTCTTCATTTCCACAAAACTGTGACTTTTCTCCAATTTGACGCTTTGCACCATTTTCAGAATAAGCATAGACAGCTCTAGCTTTAGGCTAAACTTGTCTTAACAGTCATGAGTAACTGTTACTAACTCACAGCAGTCACGAAAATAGCATATTTTTCTCAAAAAAGCATCATTTCACATTACGATGGAGCCTTCGAAAAACAACCTTAACTTAAGACTGTGCAAAATATCTCCATAATCTTACTTATAAGGATGTTTATCTCTATGTACTTCCCCCTAAATCACTATAAGGATGAATCTCAAACCACCACCATTTATTCATGATTGTATATGCAGCCTGACGATCAAAAATACCTAGAAGTGACTCATCTATTATCTTGATTCCTCAAGTTTTACATGCTTATGACTTAAAGATGACTGCTTACAGACTTAATTATTTTTCACCTAAATATTACAAAGCTCGAATGTTCATTACTAACTGTAATTATTAATGCCTATTAAACTTATTTTGTGTTTCGTTATTTATTTCCTATCTATCTATAAATTATAACATTGTAAACAAGTGTTGTAACACGAATGGCTAATTTGGCAATGAATGACTGTTGATTTACAAGTATACTGCGTTTACATGTGATAGAAACCAATTATTTTGAACAAACGGGCGGTATTGGCTTACAGTTATACTATCAGGCGGGTGATCAAAAGCATATACATTGAACATTTGTAGTATATACGCAGTATATTTGTAATATGTAAATGATAAGTGCATGTATTTATTTAAGTATCATCCTTTTTTACGTAGGTATATTTGTGAAAAAATACTTCTTTAAAATTTCTTTAATGCTTCTTTAGGTTAGCCTTGTATTTATTTTTATCATTTTCAATGAAAAATAATTTAAAAATATTTAGAAAATTTTTATTAAACTAAATTTGTAAGTTATATTGCTTTTTTGCTGCTCACAATTCTATTTTAAACAAGCTTATTCCAATCTCAAAGGAAAGAAACCAAAAATTTTAATTAAAAAAGTAATTAAGTCCGAGATAACTCGGACTCAAATAATTCAGTTCTAGAAGTTATTAAGAGGTGAAGAAAATTAATGAATTAATATGTTGTAACAATTCAAAGTTTAACGTAAAATTTATGATAAATATTGCAGCTTAAAAAAATCTGGAATAATTATTTTGCTATGTTAAAAAAAAAAGAAAGTTTGAAGATGTAAAGAAAATGGAGAGAAAAAATTTTTTCGTCTCCTCATAACATAGTAATTTAATTTATCTTTGATAGTTATGGTATACTAATAACAGTTTGCCTTTTTTTTATTCACTTCCATTAAAAAAAAACTTTTGGATTTAATTATATAAAACGAATTAATTCTATTTAAGCTAGACCAAACGCATTTGATTTTAAGTAATTGGACAATTGTGTGACATGTTAATCTAATGAATTTTTTTCAGTGACACCCAATGTCTGTAATAATGACCTTCAAATGATCTTGAAGATTGAAATTAATATTAAATAAATTTCTTAGTAAATGCTTTTAAATCATTTAACCGTAATTAATAAAATTAATATGAAGCAATGAGTTGCTAGATATGGTAGATGGACAATAGAGTAAAATGTAATTTGAACTTATAATTTATATTGAGTCATGCCTGATTTTAAATTCCTTAAACTTTTAGTTTTTAAACATTAATTTAAAGCATTTTATTAGCATTATTTTCAATTATTTCGATAATGTAAATTTATATTTTGAGGTCTTAAAGTTTTTCAAACCTTTAAGTGACCTATAATAAACCTTTATGTGCATTACAAATGCAATATGTTTTAAGTTATTAAAACTGACTTTTATGCAAAAATATCAGTAAGGTAATGAGACGTACTTATTACGTGAATACAATTATATTTAGTTGATATTTAATAAAACTGATTAATTAATAATTTTTCCCTCAATTTTCAATAATAATGGTTACCTTAACCAATTTAAATAATACTTCTGCATAAAAAGAACTAAGAAATTATAGAGAAGTTATCATTTCAACTTAACTAGAAGTTATCATTCAAGTTAACTATGTGAAGTTGCATGTGTTGGTATCATCTCACTTTCCGCTAACTTAAATAAACCATGCCTTGTTGATTTAATAGCGATTGCAATCCGTTTATATAATTTAATATAATTTAATGTAAATTTTTATACATTTTATTTTAAATTTATTAAAAATCTAAAAATACATTAGATAAAATTTAAGATTTTAGAAATATTAAATGCATAATTTTAGCTCTGATTTCCAACATGTCAATAATGCTCTTTCAGTTTGCAATAACTTTTTACATTCATTCCTTAACTAAATATTATTTTATTTTGTCAATTATTATTTCATTAAATTGGTAATATTTGCTCAAAATGTCTATTTTTAAGTCACTGAAAATTTATTATAAAGATTTGAATATTAATATTTAAGAATTAATTAAAACTATGAAAATCTGACCTATCATAATCGAAGTCATGGTGAATTTTATATCATCAAATTTATATATTTGTCTGAAAACTAAATTGTAAGTTTAGTTTCTTCCGACAAATAAAATGTTTTTTAATTATTTGAATTCCAACTTCGATGTAATTGACATCGTTAATAATTAATTATATTTTGAAATTGTTTTTCTCGGATTTTAATATTAATTTAAGACAGAAATGTGTGATTTTAAAACTTGGTTATTTTTAAGAAATATCTATAAGCCTTGCTTGATTTATTGTATGCTTGCTTTATAAAAATCCATATATAAAAATGTTTCTAGGGAGTACCTTGAATTTTTTGTCTTAAAATCATTCTTCAGCTTGTCAAAGTTAGTATCAGTGACAAAATTTTATATTACTCATGATTACTTTGTTTTTATTTAGGTCTCAGAATTCGTATCTTCAATCTGGTTGTGAAACTAGTAGCCTGCCTCTTATACGTCATCAGAGTCGTTTTAGATCGAGGACCACAATACGCAGTTTGGTAAGAAATTTGCTTTTTCATACATCCCCTACGTACTGTTAAAAATTTGGAAAAAAAAGCTGACTTGAATAAATCCGAGATTTTGCATACTTGCTTTATTATGAAGATTTAAATATAATAAAGACCCGACATTTCTGACTAAACTATCAATGACATTTATCAAAAATCATACATAAGAATTTACAGACTGAAAACATGCTATTTCGGGATAAATTTAAAAAAAAAAAAAAAAAAAAAAAAAAAAAAAAACAGAGTACGTTCTTTGTTTGCTAGCATTATGAAAAACTCGTAAAGTTATGATTTCTATTTGCCGACCAGGTGGCCGAGTGGTTAGCATGCCTGACTGCGGAGCCGATGGTTGCGGGTTCGAATCCCGCTCAGGGCATGGATATTTCTTTCTCTCTGTGTGTTCTATGTCCTTTCTCCTTTTGTGTGTGTGATTGTGTGAATGTGACCCGCCCTATAAACCCCGTCACCCACGTCACACAACCGCAAACCGGCGGGTGGTGTGACGTGGGTGACGCTGCTCCACCGCCGTGGCTTCGCCACAGGTGCCCACTGGGTAACGAGAAGAGAGTAGCAGTCCTGGCATATGACGCCAATGGGATAATATATCCCAAGTGCCCGCCATTAAAAAATAAAAATGAAAAATAAAAATTTTAAAAAAAAATTATTTCTATTTTGTAACCAGTCAAATAAGAAGACCACTAGAGAACTGTAAACTTTTTTTTCTACTTTTCAAATTAATCAATGGCGGATTCAGAAAGTTTAGAGTCTCCTTTTTATAAACTATGACTTTTTACAATCTCATATGTGTGTTTTTTTTTAAACATTTTTGATAAGAAAAATAATCGATTTCGCAACCATGTCTTATGGTTTTTATGCGTTATAAAATTTTGCACATTTATTAAAATGCTTTGCCGAATTTTTGCACAAATAAAATATAATTTTTTTTAAATAATCTTTGAAAAATTAACCAAAACAATTAATTCAAGATTTTCTAAGTAAATAATTTCAAATAATTTCAATATGATAACAAAATGAGAAGTGACATTAAACTTAATTATTAGCAAATTGCATGTATCTAGTGGCTTCTAAAATAACTAAAACAGGTTGATAAAAGAGCTGCAAAGGAAACAAAGAGTTATCTGCTAAAAAAAAAACTTTTAACTACATAAAAAATAAAAACACATAAAAAAATAAAACAGACCACATCCTGAATATCGCATATTTAAATAAAAACTATTATTATGCTTTTGTGATTAGAATCATTATAATTCAGATTTATGATTCCTTAAACAAATTTCACAGTAAAGCTTTTGTTACTGATTCAACTATTCTTGGATATACTATTCTATATTCTATTCTATGTAGAAGAAGCTACTATTTTATATAAGAAGCACGTATGAAGTTTTCAGTTAAGAACATATAATACATAGTATGACATATAACTGAGGTGTTAATAAATTCGTGCTCAATGTTTCGAATCATACTAAGAGCCAATAGTTATAAATATTTCAATTTCTAAATGAGTGTAGTAAAATTAATGCTTTAATAATTATATATAAAAATGTAATGCTACGCAAATATAAAATAATTTATAAAATTTGTATTTGTTGAGTATCTATTTGCGAATTAAAAACATTATTTTTTATCTATATTCCTTCTGCTCAAAGCAGTAGCTTGTAGAAAATTATCCAATCAAACTAAATAATATGGCATAAGATAGATGCTAATTAAAATTTAAATTGAACAGACACACCAGTCTTACGTCACATATATCAGATTTTTAAATTCCTAAAAATTATCATAATTTATAACACTCCAAATGTTGCTTCTTACAAATTTAATCATATGAAGAAAAAAAAATTTCTAAATAAATTACCGCCCAGTCTTTTTCAGTCACTCAGTGGGTGATGATAATTCAAATTACGAACTACATTCCTTAATGGTTGCGTAAATTTTGCTATTTTTGATATTTTTAACGGATTGCTTTGCTGTAACAATCCGTCCTAATAAGTAAAGTTTGTGGAAGAAGAATTTGAGTCCTAAATCCCATTAAAATCGTACCTGAAAATAAATTAATACCCAGGAAATATCTGATAATGATTTGAAGAAACTAACTCAGTTATTAAAACAATAAGAAAAGAAATCAAAATAATTAAAGCAATTAGAAACTACACTTCCAGTGGAAAAACGCGCAATGCAGCAGAAATTCCAAAAGGAAATTGAAACCAAGTGAATAAATAAAGAAAAGCAATGAAAAATGAAAAATATGAAAACCGAAGCTGACGTGGTCAGGGGGTACCTGCCCCGGAAGTCATAAATGCAAACCCTTTCTATCGACACGACAATTGAAAAATTTCGATTTAGTTGATGCTTGGTAGTCAGTTATGTACTTTGGTTTTGGGATTTATTTTCAAGTAAGCTTTTGAGCATTGTATTCTTATGTATTATTTAGGTTTTATACTTTTATAGTTGTTTTTTTTGTAATTTGGATTGTATTTTCTCTACCTGGACTTTGTCAAAACCTTTAGGGTACAAAGAGAACAACTTTGACATTTGTCGCGTCGGTAGAAAAGGTTTTGCCTTTATGACTTCCGGGGCAGTCATAAATCACGACGCCAGCTTCGGTTATCATATTTTTCATTTTTTTTTCATTTTTATTGTTTTTCTTTATTAATTCATTCAGTTATTAAAACTAATAACTAATTTTGGAAGATTAAATACGTTTACATGTATGCAAAAAGTTATAAAAGTGATATGCTAAGAAAAGATGGTTTTGGTTCAAAAAAGGAAACCTCCAGAATAACCACTATCATGACATTAATTTTTTATTTTTTTTATTCCGAAGCTTAATTACATTTTTTCACTTCTTTAATCTTAAGATAAACTAGGGACCCATTCATTGATGAATGTTTTTATGTTTCAAAAAAATCTGCCGAAGCCAAAAGAAAAAAAAAACTTTTTTTTTTTTCATTCTAGCGGTAAAGAAAGGAATTTTCTTTGAAAACTCAATATCTACATTTTTATATCAAAGTAATTACTGTGCACCGTTTAAAGCTTAAATGAGCATATTGATCGTGAAAAATGTTCTATCATACTTTTATTATTCGCCGCAATGTTTGCTTTATGGCTATAAAAACTGTAATTAAAATTTTAAGTATAGGAATAAAATGTTAATGAATTCGAGCCATATTTCAGAGTTAAATTTGTTAACACTTTAAGTATCGTTTTAGATATTTTCTATAACTAAAATTTCTCAATTATTCTTTTAGTTAGAGAATGCTAGTTTTTCATTGGTTAAATTTTAGTACTACAGAATTTCGGATTTTAATAGATTAAATTTAACTATACAATCATTTACACATACATGGTTATTTTTGAAAATAATTTATTAAAATTTTAATTACATTTGAGAGTAAACATTACATTTGAGGCAAAAACAAAATTAAAAACAATGAGAAGAATGTAAGCATGCTGAGTAACCAGTTTGAGTTTGAATATCAACTATCAAAAATTATTATATTAACTGTTTCTATATTTTAATATTAAAGTAACGGAAAACTTTGTCTTATTATATGCAAAACATATTCTATAGAATAATTAATTGAACAAAATTGTGTTCATGTCGCTGCCATAAAAGGATAGCGTCACAATTTTAAAATATTTTGAACTGTAAGTGTGAAAAAGGCATTTTAAATTTTAGCTTTAATCTATAAAGTTTTGGAGAATATCAAAGAATATATAAAAAGAGAAGAAACCAAAGTCTTTACTAATAAGTGTAGTGCGCAAAACAAACGGACCACCCTGATTAACTTTTGATCTAACGATCGGATCTTCGCGTTCGAAACTCAAACTTAATAGCTCGAGTGGATGATTTCAAATTTTCTAATTTCTAAGTGCAGACGATATTTTAAGTTACGAAATTAGACACAAAAACGCACTTTCGCTGAATAAGCATATTTTTATTGACCCCTAAAATAAAGGGGTTAGGATTAATCTGGGAAATATGTTCTCAATAGTTCGGTCAGACGAGCACTCCAAAGTTTGCACCCTTTAATGTCAATTCGTGTTTCGCCATATCTCACGAGACATTTTTAAGCAAATTGAACAAATTTTGCACATAATTATAAAATTCATTTCTTTTCTTCTTCTGCGCACTGTAAATGTTTCTTCCAATTGTTATTTTTTTCTACAGATAAAAGAAACATTTCTACTCTAATAATAAAGCAGACATTTAAGCGTCTAATAACATGATAAATATTTAGCCTTACGTAACTGCACCTCTCTGTGTCAGTAAGCTGAACTTCTAATTGGACAATAATTTTTTTTATTCATTTTCTATTAGAATTTGTAATTGAATGTATGTAAACCAATAAAATCATTCAGTTACTTTTATTGCCTTTCTATGAATTCGTTAAATGATTTCAAAAGATCTCGAGGGCTAAAGAAGACGGAGATAATATTTTTATTAAGCACCTGTGGTAAATTGCGATATATTTCAACTTACGATTAATTACGATTAAATATTTAAAGTCATGAGCTTGATAAGTCATGAAAAAATAACAATAATTAAACTTTTTTAAGGCTCAGACGATTTAAAGGCATTATGAAATTGATTTTAAATCATATTTTAAATTTCCGTAAAATTTTTGGGATAAATAGTTTTAATCTTTTGTCTGTTAATCTGTCTTTCTTTCTTACTTTATTTCTCTCGCCCTCTCTCTCTCTCTTTCCCCTCTCTTTTTTTCACTCTCTCTCTTTCTCTATTCTTCTTTCTCTACTTTTCTTTCTCTCCATCTCTTAATTTTTTTCCTTGCTTTTTTATCATTTGCCAAACGATTCAATTTTTTCCCTTGTTTTAATAAAATATTTTAAAGAAGGGAAATGGTAGTTTAATTTCTTTCTTCATTTAACATAATAAATAATGAAAATGAAGTCGTCAATAAACTCATTTTTAAAATTTCGTTTTCGTTTTTAAGAGTTAATTCCAAAAT